CACTCACCTTGGAGGGGGCGTAGCGAAAGGTTGGCAGGCCCTTGGCCTTGATCACCACCTGCGCCGTGCGGTAGAAGGGGCCGAACGTCTCGTCGAAGTACTGGCGCTCGAGTCGCGCGCGGCTGTCCGCCATCGCCCACAGGCGCACGGGGTCCGTGGTGATTTCGAGATACGGGACGCCGGACGCCAGCGCCGCCACCGCTACCACACCGCCCAGCAGCACCAACCACGGCCACTTGGCGCACAGCGCGCCCCACCACGCGAACGCGCCTTCAAGCGCCGCCTCCCATCGCGCGCCCCAGCGCGCCAGCAGCCCCGGCCTGCCGGCAATCAGGGCATCTCCTTCAGGTGTGCAAGCCTCTACTTTTGTGCTCCTGCATATGTGTGTACGCGCGCGCCGTATGTGCTCGTACGTGCTATCGTATATACGTGTGTGTGTGTGTGTGTGTGTGTTTTGCGCGTGCGTATACTGATGTGAACATGCATGCATGTGTATGTGTGTATGTGCACTTGCGTACGCATAGTTGTGTGAGCTTTCATGCGTGCTGTCGTTAGGGTGTTTTCGTTGTTGTTGTTTTGTGGATACCGATTTCCCTATTTTAGCCGCGCGAAGAAAAATCAATTATTGAAGTATCTAATTTTAGTAGAACATAAAAACTGCTTATTTGCATGCTAATCAACAGAAAACTACCCAAAAAACTTGAAACTCCAACAGATCATTATTTCTGGTATTATTGGTTCGGTTATGTATTAGAACATTGCGACTTCTACTCTACTGACTATTCAGCCATCACTAAAAAAAACCCAACCTTAACCAGTGCGGGAGGTTAAACAAATACTTTTAGAAATTCGAAAGTTTAAATGAAAATTGGTTTCTTCCATTCAATTCAGTGTATTGCCCTCGCATTTATATAAAAAAAGTACTTACCTAAGCTGGAATTCGAAATCTAGCATACAAGTTGAGACGTTTTTCCCGACTATTTAACCTGATGTCAAAACTACTCCAGTTGTAATGCTATAATACATTTTTAATGTATCATCATTTTATTCCCGTTCAACACAAAAAGAGATATTCTAATGTAATTTTATATCGTGTATCCTGAGACGCATAAATCATTACTAGGTCTTAGGTTTTTTTAAATACTAGAAGTATATCAATAACAAATAAGCAAGTTGGGTCTTGTACTGTATCGTTGTTCATATCCTAACAATTCAACAAAATTCAAAAGGCTTGTAAAATATAACTGAAAATATATAATAAAGGTTCTTGAAATAATTTGAACGCTTACCATATTACATTAAAATAAATAATCTTCTATCCTGTTTTGGAGAGAAAAGAATCCCTCCGTCCAGATAATGTTTTGTTGGCTATGAATGTGGATGAGGAACATATGGGAATTGTACAATTGATATTAATACTCTTCATTAAGTAATTATTCTATTACAAGTACTTCTGAACGTAGACACTGCGCGTACAACACGTACACAGTTACTGTTCTCCGCTCTCGGTTCACTCGTTTGACTTTTTGATTTAAACTATGGGTAAACCAATAGAAACAGGTTGTAAACCATAATTTCTGGTCAGTTCATGATATGATAATGATGATGATGATGATGATGACGACGGCAATGGATAAGGTACCGTAGTAGTAAAAATGGGTAAGTTACGCATTCTCGCAAGAAATTTTGTTTCTTGTAAAAAACAAACAAAAAAGCACGTTTTGGGTTAACGTTTTGAATCGCAACTGTGCTACAAGTATGTTTGATTTTGATTGCGAAGAATTATTTGTGTTGAAGTGGAAGCAATTACTCGAGTGGTACTAGTTCTTTTTCTGACACATACGGTTGTAAACAACATCGCTTTTATTTAATTGGCTGTCCGGTTGACGCCGCGTCCTTGGCAAAGGGGCCGACGTTTCGGTCGCCATTCTGCGCCCTTCCTCAGGGCGTAATGCCCCGATGCCCTGAGGAAGGTCGCAGAATGGCGACCGAAACGCCGGCATCTTTTCCATGGACGTGGCATCACCCAGACAGCCAATTAAATAAAAGCGATGTTGTTTACAACCGTATGTGTCAGAAAAAGAACTAGTACCACTCCGGCCGCGGAAGCCTACACTCACATCGCTTTTGTGTAATAGAAGATATTTGATGTACAGGACAACATTCACTGTACGTCACTCCGTTTGAGAAATGCTTATTGCTTCAGAGTCATCTAAGTTTTGAACAGACATTTCGAGTGCAACAATCTTAACACTACTTCTGTCAGAAACATCGATAAGAGTTTATGTCAGATTTTTTAGGAGATAATGAGGAGAGAATTTTGACTATTTCTAGAATAATTCCAAACTCATGTAACAAAAAATTGATATCTCGACATTAAATAGGAACAAATGAAAATGTTTTGTATTTTTGGGAAGTATCGGTGGTACTGTAAACATTTAACACAATTTTGAATGTATCAACTTATCAACTTGGAGAAAAAAAGAAATTATTGGATTCCTTCGTGGAAACTCCTAGGGACTACTACTGATCTCTCTCTACGTGACTTACAAGAAAATATATCATATAAAGATTAGAAATCAAAAGTATAAGAATTCATCAATAAATGCACCGATTACAATAAAACACATACTAAGAACATCAAAAACAATATTGGAACTTTTGCTATTGTAACTATTCAAGAAATAGAAATAAACCTCCTACTAAATTCATATGCTTAAAACCTCCTCAGCAGAATTATGCACCCTGCTTGCTGCCTTTTTGCTAATCAAATCGCCAACTCCAAAAAATTCATTGTCTTCTCCAGTTTCAAAGCACTATTTATTATAAACAGCAACCATCCTAAGTATGAAATGGAAATTTTAATCCATGAATTGTATTATAATCTAACACAGACAGGAAAAAAAAATTAATTTATAGTGAATCACGCCCCTCGTTGGTGTCATTGACAATGTAACTTCTCTCGAAGAAGAAATGATCACCCTTGTACATGCTGCTGGTGCACTAGAAATTTCGAACACATTCGAGGACTGTTGGAACCATTTATTTAACCAAATGCAAAATATCTAGTTTGAAAGATGGATACCGATGAAGGCTAGTGAAACACACAAAAAAGTTTCCAATACTATGTCTTTAAAACTATCAAACAAAGAATTCTCACGAAAAGATCAGGTTGTCATTTCAAGATTGAGAACGGAACATCCTAAATTAACGCATACTCACATAACTGAAAAAACCAACCTAAATGTGAACATTGTGAAGTTCTTCTAAATGTAAAACGCATTAATTTATTTACATCTATACAAAAGCAGTAGCAAAAACCAATTAGAAGGCAGACATAACATTCTTAACTCGAAAGATTTTCAAAAGAGAATTATTGATTTTGTTAAGGAAATCAATATTTACAATATCATTTACAGGAACTACTTATGTTGTATGTACTGTCTCGTATACATTGTATTGAATGTATTGTATGTATCATATTGTTTGTATATATTGAATTGTTTTTATTGTATTTTTTACTGCTTTTGATAATTAACATGGTTCTAAATTTCATATTGTAATTGTAAAATGTATTTATCGGGTTAGTCGCTATTGACCTTAATACCGATGCGACGATAAATAAATTTAAATTTTAAAAAAAGGAATAGAACATGATAGTTTAAGACAAGTGATGTATTACAGCAACACATAATGCACACAATCTTGCGATAAAGTATCTCTTTATTGGTCACAAATTTACATGTTGTACCTGGTAATGTTAATAGCGTAAGATAGACGCAAAAGGAAATATTATAACGGTTAAACAAGCAATATTACCTGAGCGACTCCTCCCAAAGGGAGGTGGCCCAGTGTTAAGAGGAGTAATTATGTTTGACGTGGTTAAAGCTACTTGGAATAGCACATTAAAATTTCACGGAAGGTTTGGGAGACGGGTTATTGCTTTTCTGAACTTCCTCACCCTGATAATTCTATAAGGTGAAGTGTTAAGAGTTGTTGAGGGGTCACTGTGGCAGTTTGCAATTTGAATGTTGGACTGAGCAGTAATCTTAATTTTCTATGTGTGAACTTTGAAACCAAAGAAGAAAAAATATTTCATTAATTGATGTTTTAATAATTCTCTCATACGTATATAATTTATTCATTAATAAAGCTAGCTGAAAATTCAGAAAATATGCAAAATTTTTTTTTCTCGATAGATTGAATATAAATGCGAGAAAGGGATTTTTAAAGCGTGCGCCCTGATCAAAGATGATGTAATAGCGAGCATTTTCATTGCAAACAAGCATATTCATTCTGTAGGAAATGAACAAGGAGAAGAAGGCTGTCGTTCAATTTATGTACAAAAACTCCTACAAATTTTGATGACTATTTTAAAGCGTTGCATTCAAATTTATTAGCCCACATGCGTAAATCAACTTCACAATACTGTAGCACGAGTTTTAATAGAATCTTTAATCTATCTTTTTTGTAACAGTAACCCACAGTACATGCGAGTATAATGCGTGTTCAGCAGCAAAAAAGATTAAAATTATCACTCCACCTGCGCAAATGACATCCACTCTGAAAATAAATTGTTTGATTTTTCGGTCATAAATATTCGTCGATTGGTTCCAAACTTAAAAGAGAACGGGACGAACTTAAAATATTCACAGTGTATTCATGTACATATATATGAATAAAACTTACTGTAATAATGATCTGGCAAATCCGGTATATCTCGCGATGTCGAATAGCAAATCAGCAATCTATTCTCCATTAAAAAAAAAAATGAACAATATGCAAGTAGTTGATGTTAAGGTAACTAACTTTCTAGGTCTCTCAATTCAGTCAAACCTCAAATGTAATATACATATAACATAATTAAACACTAATTTAAGTTCATAATGTTACACACTCAAGAGTTCTTTCAAATTATGTCAGCTTTCATGCAGCTCGTTGAGTGTATTTTGCAAAGTGTGTTTCCGTCTGAGATACGGCATAATATTCGAGAAAACTTATCATGTAGTACCGAGAACATTAGATTCCAAAAGAAAATTATTCGAATAATGAAAAAATGACATCCGCCTGATCCCTGTAAGCCACTCTTCATTGAGTCTGGAATCCTACCATTGTCTTGACTAGTTATTTACGTATCAGTATTATTTATCAAAACTCACTTAACGGTGGGAACATATTTTCATGCAATACTGATATTTATAATTACAACACACGTCGAAGAGAAATTCACATTCATCAAGTATGAACAACCACTTACCAGAAATCCTCATATAATACATAAAACGCTACTTTCCAACGCCCATTGCAGATGATATTCCAA